AGTTTTTTGTACTTTTTAGTAGAGACGGGGTTTCACCGTGTTAGCCAGGATGGTCTCGATCTCCTGACCTTGTGATCCGCCCGTCTCGGCCTCCCAAAGTGCTAGGATTACAGGCTTGAGCCACCGCGCCCGGCCCTATATTAACTTTTAAGGACACACTTGAATTTGACAAAACACAAGCTCAAGTCGGAACCCCAAAATCAAAACAAAAAGGCTGTGAAACAAAACTGGAAATATACTCCCCAAAACATGAGGTATGGTGTGAGCCAAATGACTTGCCCATACTTCCAGCTGAATTATGATTTTTTTTTTTTTTAGAAGGAATTTTGCCCTTTGTTGTCCAGGCTGGAGTACAGTGGCATGATCTCGGCTCACTGCAACCTCAGCCTCGTGGGTTCAAGCGATTCTCCTGTCTCAGCCTCCTGAGTAGCTGGGATTACAGGCACCTGCTACCACTCCTGGCTAATTTTTGTATTTTTAGCAGAGATGAGGTTTCACCATATTGGCCAGGCTGTTCTCAAACTCCTGACCTCAGGTGGTCCGCATGCCTCGGCCTCCCAAAGTGCTGGGATTACAGACGTGAGCCACCACGCCTGGCCAAATTACAATTATTTTTCATGTATATATATGATCTAACTCGCTAGAGTCCTGACAGAATGGTTGCTTGGGGAAAACAATATTATTGAAAGCCTTCTCTGACTGTAGCTCATAAGGCATATAACTCTTGTCATATTTGCACAAGGTATAGTCAGGGAAAACCATTACATGGCTCCCAAAGACACTTTCCTGTACCCAAGGCTCCTTTTGAAACATAGCAACTGGATTTTATCCAGCAGCCACCTTCACAGGGCTACAGATATGTCCTGGTAATGATCTGCATGTTTTCTCATTGAGAGAGTTATTTCCATGCAAAATAGCAATGGCTTTAGCAGCAAGTAAAATTCTCTTTAAAATGATTATTCCAAGCCGGGAGTTTCCTCTGGGACTTCATAGCAACAGAGACACTCACTTCACCGGACAGATAATTCAATCAGTATGTACAATTTGGCCTATTCTTCAACATTTCCATTGTGCTTATCACCCCAGCTATCTGCATTAGTGGAACACACAAATGAAATAATAAAAACCCAGTTAACAAAATTAATGAAGGCTTTTAAAATTCTTTGGCTGATATGGTTTTGATATTTGTTCCCTCCAAATCTCATGTTGGAATGTGATCCCCAGTGTTGGAGGTGAGGCCTGGTGGGAGGTGTTTGGGTCATGGGGGCGGATCCCTTGGTGCTTTCCTCATGGTAATGAGTTCACATGAGAGCTGGTGGTTTATTTGTTTGTTTGTTTGTTTGTTTTTTGAGACAGAGTCTCACTTTGTCACCCAGGCTGAACCCAACCTCCACCTCCTGGGTTCAAGTGATTCTCATGCCTCAGCCTCCTGAGTAGCTGGGACTACAGGTGTATACCACCATGCCTAGCTTATTTTTGTATTTTTAGTAGAGACAGGGTTTCACCATGTTGGCCAGGCTGGTCTCGAACTCCTGGCCTCAAGCGATCCACTCTCCTCGGCCTCCCAAAGTGCTGGGATTACAGGTGTGAGCCACCACACCCAGCTGGAGCTGGTTGTTTAAATGAGCCTGGCACCTCCTCCCTCTCTCTTGCTTCCTCTCTTGCCATGTGGTATATACCTGCCCCCCCTTCACCTTCTGCCATGATTGTAAGCTTCCTGAGGCTTCACCAGAAGTGAATGCTAGGACTGTCCTTCTTGTACAGCCTGTAGAACTGTGAGCCAAATCTCTTTTCTTTATAAATTGACTAGTCTCAGGTACTCCTTTATAGCAATGTAGAACATACTAACACATTGGCCAAAAGCTCTTCCATTAGTTTTACTAAACCTAAAATTGACTCCTTTCAGTAAACACCAGTTATCTCCATTTGAAATTATAACAGGCAGACTTATGAAATTCTCTCCTGGAAATTGTACCTCCTTAACAAAACAAGATATATTCACTTATTAAAATGATCTTATGAAACAATTAACTAAAAATATTTGGTAAAGTATTTCACATTGAGCTCCCAAGAGATGAAAATCTCAAGAACCACAGACTTCAACCTGAAGATTTCATCACTGGAAACATCTTTTAAAGGACTCTCCAACCATGGTGGAATGGATCCTACCAAGCACTCCTTTCTAATCCTTGTGCAGCTAAATTAAAAGGCATACACTCCTGGAATCTCTTTATCTCTTATCTAAGGAGGGCAAAACCTCCTGAATGGACTGTTACACCAGAAGGTGATCTTCAGTTTAAGCCAATGCCTGGACAAAAAGACGACAACATCAGAGATGGTCAGGTTTCCCAAGACATGAGACCAGTCCTGTACCTAAATGAATGCTTATACTTACATTATAGTAGCTGTGATTATTGTTGTCTTAGGAAGATAGATAATTGTTACCATTCTATGTAAAGTAGGACATTTGCCTTGTTTACTTAACTAACTTCCTTAAATTAGCTAATTTTTCCTTATAGTTGTCCCTCTGTCTCAGTGCAAAGGATGGCATGATAACACTTTGGTTAAGTTATCCCTAAGTATCACACTGGAGAAAACCTATCAGATTGCTGGATTTGTTATATGATTCCTAGCTTCATTCATGACCAACATAGGCCATTAGTAACACCTGTCACTGACTTCTCAGATGTCCCTAAAGTTAGAGTCACCACTTATTTAGACTGACATCTTGCTGAATTAACTTTCCAGGTCTTACTACTGTATAACCCAAATACTACTGCCCTTTGTTTTAATTTGTCCCTTGTTTTTAACGGTAGAAATCCATTCTATGTCACGAGACCTCCTCAATCCATGTGCTACTGGGTAAACAAATACACTCTAGATGACATGAACAAAGTTAAAGATAAGTCCTTACTATGCCAACAATACCTACATATAGGTTATTATATAAACAAATTCTGAAAAGCTTGCAAAGAAAGGAACCCATGGTTCAATTTGGTGTTGTCAGTATTCCCCATGAATGAATCTATTAGTGAGCACACCCTCAGGGGTACCACCTGTGTCCCAGGATGTGTGTGTGTGTGACATGTGGTCTGAATCACCTACATGAAGATGGACACACCAACGCCTCAACAGATTACAAATAAAAGGTTTACGTTTGTTGGAACATTTTCTAACCCGCTTATCCCTATACAAACATACAGAAGGACCCTCTTTTTCTCTTCATTACAGAGCTAAAAGGTCAATGTTAATAAGTTATGATGATAATATAGGTGAAAACATCCTGAGAATACCAATTCCAAGTGCTAGAGTTTATATCAACAGAGATATTATTCAAAACCTATTCACCACTGTTGGTCAGATAGCTTAAGATACTGCAAAAAGCTTTGTAGCTCAACAAAAATCCTTAAATTATTTAGCCCAGGTAGTACAGCTGTCACCCATAGCTGAGCTCATGGGGCATGTGGTGGAGTGAATATTTAGGACTGGAAAGGTAGGGTAGGCCACATCTGGAGGGTCTTCAATGCCAGGATAAGGAGTTGGAGCCTTATTCTGTAGGCAGTGGGGCCATTGAAGGTTTCCCAGCAGCTATGTCATGTACGAGTTGGAACAGAGTAGAGAGAAACAGTGCTGGGTGATGGGAGGATCTGGGTACTAAAGTTGAAAAGCTCGACATGCCAAGGACGGGCTTTTCTACAAAAAGAGAGGGCCCCACGCTCAGCTTCTTCTCTAAAACCTCTCCATGTGATAAGTCACTTCCCTGGGGAGTGAGACAGAAACTTACTCCTCCACAGAAACGAGATGTAGGACATTCATTAACACTCAAAAAGACTCATAATTCTTACCTTGCAGGATTATCTGAATATTAAATGAGATAAAGTATGCAAAGCACCTACCCTGTAAGCAGCCTTTAATGAAAGGTAGTTAGCAATAACTAGCATTGATTGAGCACTTAATCCTGTGCCAGTCACTGTGCTGGGCACTTTGCACACATTATCTTGTTTAATCCTCACTGCAACCTTATGAGGTTACATAATATCTAAGTTTAGAGGTGGAATCTGGCTCAGACTTGCTCAAGGGCCATATGAGTAACAAGTGAGGAACTAGGATATTTCTGTCCCCTGAACCAGAGTTCTCAACTGCTAAGCTGTTTTTCAGGGTACAGCTGAGTTTTAGGGATATGAATGGAACCGTGGTGAGTTAGCAGGCTGGGTTGGCGAGGGAGAGCCAGCAGGCCGCAGTTTATATAGCAAGGCATCAGCCAGGCACAGTCGCTCACCTCTGTAATCCTAGCATTTTGGGGAGGCTTAGGTGAGAGGATCACTTGAGCCCAGGATGTTGAAGCTACAGTGAGCCGAGATGGCGCCACTGCATTCTAGCCTGGGTGACAGAGAAAGACCCTGTCTCAAAAAAAAAAAAAAAAAATAGCAGGGCATCCTCCAAGCTTTAGGTGCCTGCCATTGTTTTGTTCTCACTTGCCTCTTACTATATTCTGAATTCCTGAGGTCAGAGCCCACTCTAATTCATCTGTGTAGCCCCAGCGCCTGACCTGCTGTAGTCCTCGGTGAATGCGGGTTGAATGAATTAATTGAATGTCCTGGGTGCCTCCAAGACCAACAACCCTATCCCATTCATCTCTGCCTCCCTAGTGCCCAGCACAGGGCCTGGCATCTAGAGGGTCCCCATGTTTATGAACTGAATAGCCCCTCTGTGGACCCCAGGCTCCTCATAAATCCAAAAATTCCTGATAAACCCCAAATTTTCTCTGAGAAGCCTTTAGGCCTCAACTTCCTCCCTATTGTTACTTCATCAGAAAATTATCTCCCACTTATCTCGTCTTCACAGACAACTCAACCTTCCTAATTCACCATGTGCTTCTTGTTCTTCTTGTTCTGTTTCAAAGATTGACTTAATCTCCTTTTAACACGTTGTGCCCTGGCAGCTCTCCAAAGGAGGCTCCAACCACAGGAGTCAGCCTTTCACAGCCATTACTTCTAGTTCTAATAATGACCAGAAGGAAAGTATTAACTCCACCTTCCAGAGGAGGAAATGGAAAGGAAGAGCAAGCAATTTGCCTAACAAGCGGGAGAACTACAGTTAGAAGAAGTCCTGTTTATCCTAAAACCTGGATGCTTTTTCATGACTCACCACCTCTAGAAAGGTAACAAATTATTTTCAATCCAACTAGCAAATAGTTAATAATAAGGCCTTTCTATGGACCTAGCATTAAGGGAAAAGCATGTAATAGCTTCACCCATTCTGGTGTGTGTGTGTGTGCGTTTGCTACTATACATCAGGCTCTCATTCTGACAGAGGCTGAACTCATCACAATGACCCAGTTGCTGCCTTCCAATAATTCAGAGTCTAGGGGGGATATTTTGTTTATTTTTAAATTAACAGATCATAGAGTATGTTAGTCAAGGTCCAGTTGTTTTAACAGAGAGTATAGAGAAATGTAAGCTAGGTTTAAATTGCTGACTCGGTAGCAGAAAAGTCAAGAATTAAACACTTAAATATCATGGAGGTGGCAAGTGCAAGAAACTGCCTCCATTCCTGGGTTTGGGGAATGAAGGGAAGAGGTTGGAATTATTAAAAGTAAGTGCTAAAGGAGGTTCTTGTAGGTCTGGAACCCAACCCCTGCTGAAGGCGTCCTGGTTGGCTGGTCCTGGTGCCTTTGAGGCTGATGGTGATGAGGATGGTTCTGCAAGGACTGGGAAAACTGCAAACTGGATCCAGTTGCTGTTACAGAAAGGCAATGCTACTGCAATGGCAGTGTTGCTGGGTGATGCACCCAGGAAGAGGAAACTAGACATCCCTCCTCCCCTGTCTAGCAGGTAGCTGAGTGCTTCTCTCTCTCTCTCTCTCTCTCTCTCTCTCACTTTCTCTCTCTCTCATCTTGAGCACATGCACAGATCCTAACATGGGGCCAGTGGGCAAAGCAGGAAAATATGGTTTGCACAATCCCAGCCTGTCTTAGTCTCTTTGGGCTACTAAAACAAAATACCACAGAATGGGTGTCTCAAATAACATTTATTTTTCACAGTTATGGAGGCTGAGAAGTCCAAGATCAACGTGCCAGCTGATCTAGTGTCTGATGAGGACACTCTTCTTTACAGACAGCCGTCTTCTCATTGTATCCTCATGCAGTGGATTGCAGAACACGAGGATGCAAGCTCTCTCTTGTCTCTTATAAAGGCACTAATCCCACTCATGCGGGTTTCACCCTCATGACCTAATTACCTCCCCACCTCCTAATTCCATCCCACTGAGGATTAGGCTTCAACATATGGATTTGGGGAGGGACACAAACATTCAGTCCATAGCACAACCCCAGCATCCAAAGCTAAGTGTGGAAGGGTGGGGTTGGAGCAAAGAGACAATAGCCTAGGAACTGGCACACATGGTAAAGGCAAGGCTCTGGACTGCAAATTAGTGTTCCCATGTCTGAATCCTGCCTCTTCCACTAACATGCTATGTGGCTTGAAGTAAGTCACTTGACTTCAACAACGTCAATTTCTTCTGCTGCAAAATGACGGGGGTGGGGGATGGGGGGCGATCCTGAACTCCTGCTTCTCACATTGTACTTTGCAGGCCAGCAGCATTGGAATGACTTGGGGACTTGTTCGAAATGCAGAGTCTCAGCCCCCACCCAGACATCCTGCATCAGAATCCACATCTTAGCAAGATGCACAGGTGCAGTTGCATTTGAGAAGCTCTACTTCAAGAGCCCCTGCTAGCCAGGCCCACGCTAGGTAGACATAAAAATGTGATGGAAAGGGATGGGGTTAACAGACAGGCTCGACCTGAATCCTCATTCTGCCATGGAAGCCTGGGTCAGTTGCTTAGTGTCTCTCAACTTTAATTTCCTCACCTGAAAAAAAAAGGGAGATGCGGGGAATTCCACGAAACTCACAGGATTGTGGTAAGGATGAAATGAAGGGCAGACACTCCCAGCACCAGCAGGGACTCAGGATCATTCTGTAGACTCTATTGTAGAATCAGTGTGGGTCAGGACATCAGGGCAGGCCTCCTGAGAGCAGAACGGAAGCTGGGTCTCAAAGAATTCACAGGATATAAACAGACAAACCAAAGAGACTGGACTCTGAAGGGACGTTTGTAAAACGTGGGACTGAGAGAGCTGTAACCCAAACAGAGCTGACTCTTGAGACTCTTCACGGAACTGAGAAGATCAGTGCCAAGGCGTCTTGCTTGAAAACTACATTTCTGTCTGCTAGACTTGCTGCCTAGACAGGTTTGGGAGCTTCTGCATGTAGGTGATGAGTGAGGTCACGCCAGGAGTGGGGGATGGCAAGTTTTCAGAGAGCAATGGGCAAGGAGGGGACCCTGAGCCACACCAAGGCTGGGGCTGGGGTAGGGGCAGAGCCTGGCATGGGGCCAAGGGGTCAGACTGATGGAAGGAGGCTGCTATTCACAGAGCATGGGAGGACAGGGTTTCAGGAGGAGAGAGGGGACTGAGAGGGCAGGTGGGAGGACTGACAAGAGCCCACTGGATCTAGCAATTTTTTTTTTTTTTTTTGAGACGGAGTCTCGCTCTATCACCCAGGCTGGAGTGCAGCGATGCAATCTCGGCTCGCTGCAGGCTCTGCCTCCCGGGTTCATGCCATTCTCCTGCCTCAGACTCCCGAGTAGCTGGGACTACAGGCACCCACCACTTCGCCCGGCTAGTTTTTTTTTTTGTATTTTTTAGTAGAGACGGGGTTTCACCGTATTAGCCAGGATGGTCTCGATCTCCTGACCTCATGATCCGCCCGTCTCGGCCTCCCAAAGTGCTGGGATTACAGGCTTGAGCCACCGCGCCCGGCCGGAACTTGTTTTTTTAATATATTTGTTTGTTTTAGATGGAGTCTCGCTCTGTTGTCCAGGCTGGTCACAGTGTGGTGGGATCTTGGCTCACTGAAACCTCTGCCTCCCAGGTTCAAGCAATTCTCCTGCCTCAGCTTCCCTAGTAACTAGGACTACAGACATGTGCCACCATGCCCAGCTAATTTTTGTATTTTTAGTAGAGACAGGGTTTCACCATGTTGGCCAGGCTGGTCTCGAACTCCTGACCTCAAATGATCCTCCTACCTCGGCCTCCCAAAGTGCTAGGATTACAGGCTTGAGCCACCGTGCCTGGCCTGGGTCTAGCAATTCTAAAGTCATTGGTGGCCTAGAAGCCAGTGATTAGCAGAAAGTCACAGCAACTGAAGCAAGGCTGCTGTGGGCAAGGAGCAAGGAAGTGGGAGCAGCCAGTATGGCCACCCCTCAGCCAAGGAACTTGTTTTTTTGTTTGTTTGTTTGTTTGTTTGTTTTTGAGACGGAGTCTTGCTCTGTCACCCAGGCTGGAGTGCAGTGGCTGGATCTCAGCTCACTGCAAGCTCCTCCTCTCAGGTTCATGCCATTCTCCTGCCTCAGACTCCCGAGTAGCTGGGACTACAGGCACCCACCACTTCGCCCGGCTAGTTTTTTTTTTTGTATTTTTTAGTAGAGACGGGGTTTCACCGTATTAGCCAGGATGGTCTCGATCTCCTGACCTCATGATCCGCCCGTCTCGGCCTCCCAAAGTGCTGGGATTACAGGCTTGAGCCACCGCGCCCGGCCGGAACTTGTTTTTTTAATATATTTGTTTGTTTTAGATGGAGTCTCGCTCTGTTGTCCAGGCTGGTCACAGTGTGGTGGGATCTTGGCTCACTGAAACCTCTGCCTCCCAGGTTCAAGCAATTCTCCTGCCTCAGCTTCCCTAGTAACTAGGACTACAGACATGTGCCACCATGCCCAGCTAATTTTTGTATTTTTAGTAGAGACAGGGTTTCACCATGTTGGCCAGGCTGGTCTCGAACTCCTGACCTCAAATGATCCTCCTACCTCGGCCTCCCAAAGTGCTGGGATTACAGGCATGAGCCATTGTGCCCAGCCAAGAACTTGTCTTTAAGAGAAGGTATGAGATGATGACTGGACAGGAGCTGATAAGATCCTTGGGGCACCTGGAGAAGACTGACTTAGCTGAGGTGTTTGCCTATAGCAGAGTCTTCCCAGGGGACATCCAGGGTTATCACATGTTCAGGCCAATTTACCGAATGAATACTAAAGATCAAATTAAGGTATATTTCCACATTATGATTTCTCAACCCTGTAGTCTTCACAAACTAGTTGAGCAATATTACTGTGCTGGTGAGGAAAGGTAGGACCTGACTTAGGCCAAGGTATGAATTTGCAACAATGGGTGGGATGGGGAGGGAGGGAGGGAGTCAGGATCAGGAGAGGGTTTCCTTGTTGCAAGAGCACACTTAAAGACAGGACAGAGAGATAACTGGTGTGAGTGGAGTTTGTGGGGGAGGGGATGTAAGAGCACATGTGAGGAATAATGAGAGGAGAGGCGGGGCCTTAGTTAGGTTAGCCTGTGACTGCCAGCAGAAGGAATTTGTCCTTGGAAGAGAGCACTGAAGCTGGTTGGGCAAAAGGCTGATAGGATTGTTGCTGCATGTAACGAAGATTAAGTTAGCTGGGGTGTCTGCCTTTAATTTGGCTGGGGAGTCTGCCCAGAGGATCTTGGGTTGACGTTAAGTTTCCAGCCCACTTGCTTGAGAATCATACTATGATTGTTCAACCCTATCATCTTCATAACTAGCTGAGCAACATTACTGTGCTGGTGAAGAAAGCTAGGACTTGATTTGGGCAAAGGTATTAACTCAGCCTGTTTCACAAATATAAATGTGCTGCTATTCACAATAGCAAAGACATGGAATCAACCTAAATGCCCATCAATGATAGACTGGATAAGGAAAATGTGGTCCATATACACCATGGAATACTATGCAGCCATATAAATGAACACGATCATGTCCTTTGCAGGGACATGGATGGAGCTGGAGACCACTATTCTTACCAAAGTAACACAGAAACAGAAAACCAAATACCACATGTTTTCACTTCAAGTGGGAACTAAATAATCTAAATAGTGAGAACACATGGACACATAGAGGGGAACAACACACACTGGGGCCTGTTGGAGGGTGAGAGGAGGAAGAGGATCAGGAAAAACGACTAATGAGTACTAAGCTTGATATCTGGGTGATGAAATAACCTGTACAACAAACCCTATGACACAAGTTTACCTATGTAACAGACCTGCACCTGTACCCCTGAACTTAAAAGTTAAAAAAAAAAACATGCTGGTTTATGTGGGGGATGAAACTGTCCTAAAATTAGATATGGTGATGGTTGCACAACTCTGTAAATATACTAAAGAAGTATTGAATTGTACACTTTGAACAGGCGAATTTTATGATACATAAATTCTATCTCAATGCAGGTTCTAAGAACGGCCTGTACAATGTGACACACTAAGCCAAGGGAAACAATTGGTTTTCTACCTACAATGAAAGAATGCTTTATTCCTAGAGGCTCTGACCCTTTCAAGCTGCTACACACATTCTCACTAATGCCAACATCTGCCTCTACTAGTCCTGCTAGTCCACACTCTGGGACCAGTGCTAGGCTGAGTTTTCATTACTATGGAACAGAGTTCTAGTTATAGGATACCTGACTTACTCACCATTGCATCCCTAGCACCTAGGAGACCACCTAACACATGAATGAAAAAATGACACAGCTGGAAAAAACATAAAGACTTGTATTTAATGTCACTAACTCTAAGGACAAGAAAAGGAATGCTGAAAGAGGTTAAGCAAACGGAGCACACTTAGCTAGTAAGTGGTAGTTAGTTCAATCCAAAATGTATTTACTGAGCATCTGGGTAGAAAGTACTATTCTAAGCACTGTGAGAAATACAAAGGTAGGCCGGGCGCAGTGCCTCACGTCTGTAATCCCAGCACTTTGGGAGGCTGAAGTGGGCGGATCACCTGAGGTCAGGAGTTCGAGACCAGCCTGGCCAACATGGTGAAGCCCCATCTCTACTGAAAATACAAAAATTAGGCGGGCATGGTGGCGGGCACCTGTAATCCCAGCTACTCTGGAGGCTGAGGCAGGAGAATCGCTTGAACCCAGAGGGCAGAGGTTGCAGTGAACCGAGATTGCGCCACTGCACTCCAGCCTAGGTGACAGAGTAAGACCCTGTCTCAAAAAGAAAGAAAGAAATACAAAGGTGATTAAGGTGAAGTCCCTACTCTCAACAAATAGGGAACATAAAACATGTTACCCACGCAGGGAAGAGGAAAGAGACAGACACTGAAGTCTCCAGCAGGGGGCCTTCTGTGCCTTAGTCTCATTTAGTATTCACAGACACCACAGGAAAAGGACTTTATTATCCCCAACTTACAGACAAGGAATTTAACCTCAGGGACATGATACCTAATAAAAGGAAGACTCAGAACTTGAACCCAGGTCTATCTGGTGGCAAAACCTAAGCTCTTTTCATAACACCATTATAATTTAAAAAATAAAGGCAAAATGTATTCAAAGGAATAAGTTGCTCACATCTCTTTGGGGATGGCAGGAAACGTTTCATGAGAGAAGTAGTATTGGGTCACTGAAAATATTTGACAGCAAGCCAATTTGAGGGCAGGTGTGTGGAGACAGGTGGCCATTTTTGGATGGAGAAAATGCAGGAGGAACTGTGTCCATAAATAAAAGCCCACAATTCAGTTCAACTGGAACCAGAGCCCACATAGAGGGGACTAGGTGGGTCAAGGTGGGAGCAGGTGGGACAAGCAAGGTGGGACAATAGTGGGGACAAGGTGGGAGCAGGAATTTGGGGCTATATCATATACAAGCCCCTGAACGCCAAGAAGAGAAACTTGGACTTACTTTGAAGACAGTATTTCAGCAGGGGGATGATGCATCGTAATGCATAATCAGAACTAGGTGTTAGGGAGATCAGCCTGTCAGCATATGTAGGCTGGCTTACCAAAGGGAGAGGAATTTGAGGCCAGGAATCTATTAAGAGGTTGCTGACGTAGTCCAGGACCAGAGATAGATGATGTGCAGTGGGATTGGAAAGGTGACAATGATGTACATTGCTATAATGTACATGTGTCTAGATGCAACTCATCTATATTACAATTTTATAATTGCTGAGCACATATGCTTAGTAGTAAAAACAGAGATACGTATCGAGTACTTGCTTGTACTGGGCACTTTGCTAAGTGCTTTATAAGCACTAATTTATTTTCTACTAATAGCAGCCTTATTAAGTGGATGCTATTATTATATCTATTGTACAGATGAGGAAATTGAGGCTTAGAAGGAGTAGAAATACACACAAGGTCATATAATTAGTAATTGCATAGACAGAGCTCAACCCAGATTTGTTTGACTCCAAAGTCCATCATACTCACCACGCTACCTCCTCAGCCCTCATGGCCACCTCTTCGTGGCTCAGCCTTCTCCAAATTAACAATATTTATATGGAAATTTCAGAGCATTCTGAGATAATGGAAATAGCATGAGCTCCAGAGTGCCACAGACCTGAGTGTGGGATCCTGGCTCAGTTACTCACAAGCCAAGTGATACTGGGTATGTTTGTTACCTGGCCTCCCTGAGCTGATTTTCTTTCT